TACCTGCCATGCACAAATAGGTGCTACATTTATCACGACGAGTAAAAAATGACTCAGACGTTTACCCAGACTCTGAGCGCACGTGCCCTCTGTGACGTCATAGTCCTTCCCAGTCCAATGCACCTCGCGAATAGAAAGCTGAAATGGCTTCCTCAGTGCTTGTATTTTAGTGTACAATATCTACCCATTAGTAAACATACCAGCCTGTTCTATACTAACTCTCAAAACCTGTGCCGTTTAGTTTTCTGCGGTGCTCTAAATTAGAGTCTCATGTCTTATAACATCATGCCATCTAATGGTAATGTTAGGTACTGCAGCAGATGCGCAGTCGTTTCACTAGACAGGTTGTCTTAATCTCTTACTTTACAAAATTCGTCATATATTAACACGTATTTGAAGCTGCGTCCCAAATTTGGTTTGATTTTTGGTTTAAAATGTCAAACTCTCGAATACAAAAAGAGTGAGGTATCTTCTGCAGTATAACCCCTCATTATTGTTTGTACATTGGTTATTTGTGTGGATTACCGAAATTTAAGTAAAATCAGCTTATCTGTTGGTCTCAACTGGCAAGAAGCAGACCGCATACTCACCTGATTTATCGGCCAGAGTCACCAGGTTTGAGCCGGTCTGTATCGCCCACCGAGATACAAACCACGATCTGTAGGCCATTTCAGCACCACAAATAAACTATTGGATTTTCCCTAAAACGTGCTGGAATTTGCACAACATATAGTTTGTAATTAATATTTCCCATCACTTTCAAATGTGTTGAATTGCACTAAAATTAGCAGCAGTGCGGTGCACGAATTCCGCAGTTGGATGGAGAGTCGTTTCCTGTGAATATTGATTGTTCGATCTTTCTGGAAATCAATCAGCTAGCGGGTGGATTTCGCACAGCCTGGAGGGGAGGGGGGTAACATTTGAATCACAGTTTGGTTAATTCCTTCTTTCTTTCATGTTTTATTCACAATATTGTGTTTCAAAGTATAATGGTAATCATCCCGGTGACTTGACCACGACACAATTTACTTAGGCTACTGCTTTCAATAACTACTAATCAGTTAGCAGTTTATAATTTAGCTATTTACTACCTTGACTTCATAAAAAAAATAAATGAATAGTAAAAAAAAAGTAAATGGATGACATAACCAATTAAAAATCCATGAAAAACCAAATCGACGGAAGGAAGTGCTACACTGTAGCCTGTCTGCGCATGAGCACGAAAGCTTTTGGAAATACGGACGGAATTTACTTTCACGAAGTGAACTGATCCGCTGGAATAATAATAATAACTACAACAATAATAATAAACATATATTTTAAATAAGGTAGATGTGTTTCAGAGTACCGTTAGTTTCTATAGAGAGCTTTTGTGTTCTGAATGTGCAGCCATCTGTTTCAAAACGCAAATGCTATTTACGGCGGTAACCAAACGTGTGCTGAGAACTGGCACAGACAATGGTGCATAGTGATCCGGCAAATTATAAGTCCGCTTTAATTTTAAATCAGAAAGGAATGCGTTTGTTAAAGTGTGTGTGTGTGTGTGTGTGTGTATGTATATGTATATATATATATATATGACCAATTGATGTTTTAAGGCACTAAATGACACGTTCAAATCAAGATTGATTTACATTATGATGCTATTTTTCAATAGTAGTCGTTCAACCTCAGTAATTATAACCTGTAAGCTAATTTACTGTTTCATTTAACTAGTGTTAAGTAATTAGGCTATTAAACGTAATTTCAACTAGCCTCTAAACTGGGAGAGATAATTCCCAATTACCATCTTTTTAAAAATAAGTTTATCGGGTTTAATGCTACACTTAATGCTTTAAACAGGCCTATATACTAACGCTCTCACATCTCAACAAGTAAAGCATTGCGCTAACAACGCTGTAGTCATTGCTCAAATCATAGAGAGTATGCATAAGTTATAACCTACTATAGGTCGCTTTGGTTAAAAGTAGGCCTATCAAATTAGCATAACGATTTCATAGAATTATGAGTATTCTGTATAAAAGTGTGAAAATAACACTATAGGCCTACAATTTGACCGATTTGTCTTGCAGACAATAATATTTTTGTAACTATATAGAGTCAATATAGTAAAAAAATATACCGTTTTAGTTGTTTACATTTATTTATTTTTCAGACGACTTTCCCCACTTGGACGCAGGTACAGTAGTAAGCCTAAGTGATTAGCATTAAAAAAAATGCACGAATAAGGTTTTTTTTACTAGGGCTGCCGCCTCAGTCCCGTAAAATCCTGGTCACCCAGTCATTGACCAAAAATATTGCACATAGCGTGCAATATTTTTCCCTTTGTCCCGAAATGAAATTAGTGTTTTTCCGGGATGGATGACCAAAATCCGGCGTGGTGCCGGACTCCTGGATGGGTGGCAAGCCTATTATTTACTGTATCCGTATGTGCGTTATTTCGTGAAATTTCTTTGTTTCCCCTAAAATAGCAGTGCTTCTACTGTTGATTTTTAAGAAACATTCCACGTTTTTTTTAAAAAAAACAATATTCGGGTTACGAATATGACATAGGCCAACACGTCAATTTAACTTAAGTGAACAGGGGTCAGGTGAGGGCAAACGTTCATCTCGGTGAAAACTGTGAGCTATAAAAAAAAAACTTATGTTCATAGACCTATATGTTACCTTTATTAATATTATTATTATTATTACGAAGGCTGATCGGTATAGTCTAATACTGCATGGCATCTCTGATAGTGGGGAAAAAACGTTTTCTCATGCTTTCGGTGGCCGATTCTTTGTATTGTAAACGGCCGTGGTTACAGTTCGGTGTTCGAAGCCCTTAAGCTATGCTGTTCGAGTTACGTATAAAGCAGCGTTCAGTAATGGGTTGCGCGCCAGTCGCTTCCGCAGAATCGGGCATGAAAGAAAAGCGTCTCCTTGGCAGCACGACAAAGCCAGTCCGCATTGGGGTGGACAAACGAAGGAATTTGACAACGTTTAAAAGAAATAGGCTACATTTTGCTTTCATTATTTTATATTATCAACCAACCATCGTATACAGGCCTATATCGAAATGATAAGTTTCGAAAAGTTATTAATATCAAACATTTCAATCCGACATAATTTCACACCTTTAGGGTACCAAGCAGGGCTGGACCGGGATAAAAATTCGGTCTCTTGACTCTTTGCCCAGACTGGTCCACAACACATAGGCCTACATACCCACGACGAATTATGTGGTCGGGAGGCGGGGGGGGGGGTCTCCCCCGATAAATGCCGGTCCACATCGGCACACTAGATAAACACCTGGTATGACAGACAGCCAGTCCAGCCCTGGTACCTGGTAAAAACCAGCACCATAGCCATACCAACTTCTGAACAAGATAGGCTACTATGCAATCCGTTCTTATTTTCATTAAATATTTTACTGCTAATGAAACGTGACTGTGAGCGGATTAGACGGATGTTTATAGGTTACTGACAGTCACGTTTTCAGGTGTTCTCCGTTATTGCTGAAGTTGGGATACTCACTGATAATGTAAAACATTTGGATTTACGGGGAAATGAAAGCGCTGTTCGCCTTTAATAAAATAATCCAGGCTTTAATCTCACAGTAGTCGACGTATTTGGGAATGGCGGCGATGTTCCTCACTGTAGCAACAGCGTAATGTAATGTCAGCAGGACCTCCTGAAATGCTGGTACCAAATGCCCAGTCTACCAAAGCGGTGTAGAAGCAACACGTTACCAGACTACTGATCGCAGTGCTTCATCGGGATCGTATCTCCTCCCGCCAACAAAAAATACATCGTTTAAATGTTGTCATTTTTTTTATCTAATAATGTGTCTTTATATAGCCATACATGTAATTAGGCTATACATATACAGAAACAGTTGGTATATATCGCCACCCTGTGGTATCTATCGTTCTCTTCACGCGTTTCAGGTTACGCAACTACATCGCATTTCCATTTAAATCATAAAATTAATTTAAATGGAAATGGGATGTAGCTGCTCAACCTGAAAAACACAACTGGAATACATGGGAAGAAAAACTTCTGTTGATCTATACCTACCTATTTTCTATTCTATATATATTTGGACAGTTAATGTCACTGGCGGACACTAAACAGTAGTATCTAACGTGTTTTAATTCAGTTTTTTGACAGGTCTCACGGGAAAGAGATCTTAGAAAACCCTTTCATTTTCGTAACGCGTGTGCTAGTCAGGGATAACAGGGATAAATAATAACACTTAAATAAGACTGGCAGCTGTGCCGAATCATCCGTGGCTGCGCTGCCACCAGGGGGCGTATTTGGTCTAGAAACGTGAGACCACAAGGAAGGATGAGTTCAGGTGAATTCAGTCATACACCAAACAATATACATTTTTGGTGAAGGAGATGATTAACAATCCTCACCATAGTTATTTCTTAGTTTTAATATTTCTACAGGAACTTAAAGAAGTCAGGTGAGCACTAAAATGGATTACCCAGATCAGTCTACAGGGCTATATTTGAACATTTATCGGTAAAGTTAATTTTGGTAGAAATCACTGCATGAGATGTACGAAACAACCGAAAAACGTTGCGTGCACAATGTCTGTATAGCCTTGCATAGCCTTATTAAATATGTGAGCTGGTTGATTTTCTTCTCTTGTCCTGTTGGGACACTAAAGTTACAAAATGAAAAGTTCAAATATAGGCATACAATTAATGCCATGTTAACTATATATAAAGATAGAAAATCCTAGCGACGCCGAAAAACGAGACCAATCAATTTAATAAAATATGCAGAAAATGCGTATAGATAGAGATATTCACCCACATAGGAGGTCAAAGTAGCACCAAGAGGAAAGACGACCTTTGTGGGGGGAAAGTTTTGGTGTCATCAGAATTGTCAGGATTCTTGGCTTGGAAATGCCTCCTTTTTTGTGTGTCAGCCGCAGGCTGCGAAAAAGCCGGTATTATAGCGGATCTGCCTGATGACCAAGCACCTCCCCGTGCCCTTTAGTTACGGCGGCGCTCCTCCTCTCAGTATCCAACACATGCACAAAGATGGCGTCAATTATGGAAGGTCCTCTGAGCAAGTGGACTAACGTCATGAAGGGCTGGCAGTACCGTTGGTTTGTTTTGGACTACAACGCCGGGCTGCTCTCCTACTACACGGTATGCGCTGTGATCGCGACTGGTTTGGAGGGAGGCGGGGGAGTGCGGTGATCCTGGATCCTGGAGCTGGGAATCTCAGCAGGCAGAGCAGAGGCTGGTCTTATTGGGGCTGGACTCCCGGTGCCAGGGCTCCTGGGGCTATGTGACGGGGATCCCGGCATGTCACAGCCAGTAGACGTGCACCTGGCGAATCGGAGCCGCTTATGAGCAGGTGCACATTGGTGTCCCCACGTAGCACGAATTTCTGTCGCGTTTTAAGGGGCCGGACTAATACGATCGCGTCCGTTTGCTGTTATTTACCAGCAACCGAATGCATTTCTGGGGCTGTCAGCCTCTTTGCTACGGCAATGCCCGTATTTACCAGCGGGCTGCATACTCTGTGTAGCATTCTGGTAGCTGCTTTCTTACCAGTTATGTGCTTGGATTTTTAATACAGAAACGGCGGATTCGACAAGCGTGAACACGTTCTTATTTATCTATATATTTTATATCTCCGCGTTTTCGTATGTAAAAGATGTGGGTACTTGTGGTATCTTGGATAAAACGCATTTTGCTCATTGGCTAAATGGATACTGACATGCGACGGTAATGTCAGCCGCAGGCTGCGCAAAGTTCAACGACAAGTTTCTGCGCTCAGAAAATGGAGAAAATTGAGAATTTCATTTTTGTATGTTATGCTAAAACAGCTGATGCGTATATGCGTAAGTATCTATATAACGCAGGCATGAATGAAGAAAATGAATCCGCTATATAGCGTGTATGATACTGCGGTACAGGTTCCAGGATCTGACGAAATGTGATTATGTCAGGAGAACCGGCTGTTATTTTGATATATTTGCCCTGGGATTCTGCAGATGAAAGATGACGTGGAAGATGAAAACTAGTAATTGCCGCCTTATATTATACACTTGAACGCATGGCAGGTAAAAGCAACGAAATTTGTATTTCATAATAGGAATGCTGACATTCATATAAAGAATGACGGCACTTCTTTAAAGTTGATTTTTGAGCTGCAAGAACGCCGATAACGCAGTGGTGTGAAAGCAGTGCCCTCTAGTGGCCGTGCTCTTCATTACACAGCGACACTGCTTAGGGTCTCCTTACTCTGTGTCGTGGTCCTTTATAAAAACGTTAAACCAGCGTAAACAGTGTGTGGCTCTTAAATATACTCAGACGTGCACAACTCTGTCAAATGCTTAAAATATTAACTTATTTCAATAATTTAAAAAATAATAATTAAAAATGTCAACTCTTACCGTTTAAAATGCCCCCTAGTAGCGTTCCTGAGGCAAAGTAACTAACAGCGAGTCAGCAGTTGTAGTATATCGCACATTTTGCCTCCAGCATTGACATCCAGGGTGTCACTTAATATCTTGCTAAATGAGTTTCTTTTGCTGTTTAGTCCAAGGACAAGATGATGCGTGGATCTAGAAGAGGCTGTGTACGGTTACGGGTGAGGAGCTCTGCTGATGGCACCATTCCTGGGGCATTTTCCCTTCATATTACCACATAATATTTGCTGCCATTTTCCTGTTTCTTTTCTACTTTTTTTGCTCCCATAATGTGTGTCTCTGTCTGACTGCCCCCCCCCCCCCAGGGAGCTGTAATAGGTATAGATGATGAGGATGACAGCACATTTACTATCACAGTGGACCAGAAGACCTTCCATTTTCAAGGTACAGCTGACCCCCCCCCTTGTTTTTTTTAAATACTTTTAACCATGTAACATATGCCCCCTATGGGAGAAAGTGGGAATGACAGCTATGTGAAACCATTTTGGAAGCTTGGTGCATAAGCCTCTGGAATCTCCTAGCTCTGAGGCTCAAACCCTGAAATCCTGTGCTGCCGATTCTGATGAGCTTGTAGGTTACTCTGGGCTGGGGGTTTCGTTGGTGCATTGAGGACAGACTTCGGCGGATGCAGAAAGCCGCAGCCCCCCCCCCCTCCCCCGTAGCCCCCCTGCGTTCTCAGGTGTGTGGCGTAGGAGTCACATGCTGAGTCAGCACTCGGCCTCCTCTGCCGCTCCGGTCAGGCTAACGGAGGCCTACGTGTCTGCTTTCAGCCCGCGATGCCGACGAGAGAGAGAAGTGGATCCATGCCTTGGAGGGAGCGATCCTGAGGCACGCCTTCCGGCTGCAGGTATGAGGCCTTTTCTCCGACTGAACATTAGCCGCTCGTGTATCGTTTCTAACCTTCCTTCTGCCATCGTGGCTCAGGAGTCAGAGTTGGGCTTCGCTCTCACCGTGGAAGACTTTGACAAGAAGCTGGCGGAGGCTGACGCCTACCTGCAAATTCTCATCGATCAGGCAAAGGTACTTGGGAGTCGTC